AGCTTCACAGATAAGGCAAAGCTAAAGGAGTTCATCACCACCAAACCAGTATTATATGAAATGCTGAAAGGTATCCTTTAAGAAGAGGAAGAAGAAGAAAAAGGTAAAGATAGAAATTATGAACAACAAATATACATCTATCAACAAGTGCATATAAAAATCAAGTGAATAAATAATCTGATGAACAGAATAATGTGGTGAATATAATAGAATCAGAGTCATAGAAAGGGAGTGGACTGACTATGTTGGGGGGGGGGAAGGGCGTGGGGGGGATGCGGGAAGAGACTGGACAAAAATCGTACACCTATGGATGAGGACAGTGGTTGAGAGGGTAAGGGCAGAGGGTGGGGTGGAGGGGAACCGAATGGAGGGGAGCTATGGGGGGAAAAAAGAGGAACAACTGTAATAATCTGAACAATAAAGTTTTAATAAAAACAAACAAAAAAACCCCACATAATTTCTTAATACCATTGTCTAGGAATCAATAAAAATGTTGACAAAGAAAAAAGAGAGAAAAGCTGAAGTTAACATCAATGGCGATCCTGTGCTTTCTGTTTGTTCTGTGCATGAACCAGTGCTAAAGGGTTGCTGGATGGTTCTCCACACTGGTCCTAATTCTCCCTCCTGGCCCCAGTGTTGGGTTGGCCATGCACACCCAGTAGATGAGCCTAGAAGTCCAGGAGTAATGCTCCATGGGGCCCCAGACACCTTCCTGTATTAGTTGTCAGCTAGTTGCTGACAACTAGTCAGCTAGTTGTCAGCCATGTTGCTTTGACATGGCAAGGGACACCACTCTCCTGGGATGTCCAGTTTCTCATTACCAGTGGGGACTTAGGAGACTACAAGTCTTGCCCCTCAGCTTACCCCCACATGCATCCATCCTCATCCTTCATAAGGATCCTGGATCTTCCAACTCCTTCACAAAGACCAGTGTCGTTCACAAATGTTCCCAATCCACAATCTATATCTCCTGTCATTGGAGTCTTCCCCAGTTCCCCACCTTCCCACAGTCTGGGATTTTCTGAATTGACCCTATGCTTAATCTATCCTTGAGAGTTGAGATGGGACCTCCATAGGGATACCAGATGCCTGGAAGAGAAGAAGGGGCTCACCTGAGGATGGGGAAGAAGAACGTATTGATGTAGAGGAAGGTGCCTCTACAATGCCTCACTGGAGATTGCCTATGCACTTGTCCATTGTGGAGTTGCACAGACTTAGAAAGAAATATACAGATAACCCAAGCACAGAAACACACAGGTACAGAACACTCCCAGCCTGTGCTGGGCACTCAGGTGGTGGGCTTATGTCCAGGTTCACATAGACCCACACTGTAGACATGGGCAATACCCTGAGGAAAACACACACACACACACACAAATTGGTGCCACCCAGACAGTGCCACAGGACACACACACAATGGGCACTCCCCATATGCTGGCAGGAAACACCATCACCAATTGTGTTCCAACACCCCACCTCTCTGCCCCCTCAACCTCACATCCCTCAGTATATTGTCCTTCAGAGTCCAGGCTACATCACCTCATTTCAGGAGCAAGGGTCTGCTAGGCACAGGCCAAACTTATGGAGGGTGAGACCACCTGTAACGCATGCCCCCAATGTGGTATCATGTTGAGACCAAGCCTCTCCTTCTGGAAATGCTTGTATTGCAAAATGGTATCACCATTGAAAACCCACAGCACCATTTCCTGGAGAATCCATGCTACCTCCATGACTGGTTGGGCGGTGTTATTTTTAATAAAATGAAAATGGGAAATTACCCAGAAATGCAAAAGTAGAGAGATTCCAACAATGCCCATGGGGCTCAAGGGAGTGTGTGGGCTGCTCAGAGGTAGGTGAACTGATTTGAGGGCCTCAAGTATCAGGAGCTGCTTCAGAACACCTGGGAGGGATCTGCACTCAACCTACCTGAATCCAAAACAGCCCAGTCTCAACCTCTGGCTGGAAGGTGCTGAGACCACAAGACCCATGTCCAGGCCCAGAGCTTTTCCCAGCCCCTTAGGGTTTAATCTCAGGGAACACAAATGTCATAATTACCTGTGGGTGACTGTGCAGCTCAGGCCCAGTTTCCCACCCTCCACACTGACAGCAGGGGCCCCTCTCCTTCAGTTCTCTCCCTCACTGTGTGCTCTGCCCTCATGAGAACCCTTATGGCTGTTCACCACAAGGTCCCTTGGTCTGTGATGGTGTTCACATGTGTTGACTCATTTGGTAAAAAAACCCACACAAATATATTGATTAGACTCGCAGTGGTTTCTCAATCTTCCTAATGCCGTGACCCTTTAATACAGTTTCTCATGTTGTGCTGACCCCCAACCATAAAATTATTTTCCTTGCTACTTCATAACTGTAATTTTGCTACTGGTATGAATCATAATGTAAATATCTGATATGCAGGAAGTATTTCCATTGTTTGCAACCCACAGGTTGAGAACCACTGGATTAGAGCGATAGTATGGGGGGGTGGGGAGGGAGAGAAACTCTCATTTGTTGTTCCACTAATTTTATACATTCATTGTTTGATACTTGCATGGGCCCTGAATGGGGATGGAACCTGCAACCTTGGCATTATTAAGATGATGCTTTAATCAACTGAGCTCTCTAGCCAGGGCCAAATTTATCAGGAGTTTTAAGTAAAATAAGTCACTAATGTATCTGAGAATAGATAGATACCAGAACCACGATGATGACAGATAGTGATAGAAGGCTAGAATTCATGAAGTTTTATAAGTCTTTTCTGGATATATTTGAAATAAGCTAACTCAAAGGTAGATTATGTCCTTGAGTATTTTGTTTCAGGGAGATGGGCATTATGGAAAGATAAAAGCACATGTTAAAAAGTGTGTTTTAGGCCGAAACCGGTTTGGCTCAGTGGATAGAGCGTCGGCCTGCGGACTGAAAGGTCGCAGGGTCGATTCCGGTCAAGGGCATGTACCTGGGTTGCGGGCACATCCCCAGTAGGAGATGTGCAGGAGGCAGCTGATCGATGTCTCTCTCTCATCAATGTTTCTAATTCTCTATCTCTCTCCCTTCCTCTCTGTAAAAAATCAATAAAATATATTTTTTAAAAAGTGTGTTTTAGCTTGGCCAATATTACTCAGTGGTTGAGTACAAACTATGAACCAAGAAGTCAAGGTTAGATTCCGGTAAGGGCACAAGCGAGGATTGCAGGCTTTATACAGAGTGTGCGGCATGCAGGGGGCAGTTGATCAATGATTCTAACTCATCACTGATGTTTCTAGCTCTCTCTCCCTTCTGTGAAAATTAAGATAGCAAGTCTATATAGATATGACCATCTCTCTCATTTCCTGAATCATTGTTGCCTCTGTGGCAGCAAATATTGTCCAGAAGTGAAGACTACAGAATGATCAGGAATGCTGAATTGTCACAAGACACACAACCTGGGACTAATTATATGATTATCCTCCCTCTAGCTTTGAGTTCCTGCCTGTTGTGATAACCTTGAGGTGAACAACATAGAGGGGCCCAGGGAAACCCAAAACCATGAGATTCTTTTCACAACAAATCACTTCAGCTACAAAAAGAATACACAAGCTTCAGGACTGGGTCATTTGTGGGTAATGTTCAGAAGAGGCAATTTTCATCGAATATACTGCCCTCTCTTCCACTCAGTATGAAAATAGTGTTTGTCCCAATATTAGTTCCAATTCAGTGTTACAACGAATGAAACCAGCCTGTGAAATTTCACACATCATGGCATAGGGCTCCTTTGCAGTATGTAAGACATACTATGAACAGAGAATATAATTCATATTGTTCACAGAAGCACAACAAAGGACTCTTCTGGGTGATCATTGACCTCACCAATAATACAGGCACCAGGCTAAAAAATTAGAAGCAAAAAGTCATGCAGATTTTTGTTAAAGGGCTTGGTCAGCAATACAAAATATACCAATATTGGCCAAAGAGTAATTTTTTTGCCATTATGATGTGCCTTCCAAAGCACAGAAAGTTTGAGACTCCACGTTATCTGTTTACCTCTGGATGTGACAGATCACAACTATCCTTTCAAATCATCCCAGGCAGTGAATATTACCCAAAAATTAAAGGTCAAAAAGCAAAAAACACCGTTACTAAAAGATCATAAACCAAAACAGAGGACAGCAAGCAGTTTGTAGGTTGGTGAGTAAGAACATAAAACAACTCATCAGAGGATAATGTTAGAACAATGATAGAAGTACAGAAAAGGGCTCCTCTTCTGGGGGACCACTGACCTCATCAACATCAGAGGCACAACGTTATGCAAACTTTTATTTCATTGCATTGGTCAGTGGTATAAAATAAGCCATTATTGGACAAAGAGTGATTTTTCTGACATTATTATATGCTTTCCAAAGAACAGAAAGTTTCAGACCTCACCATATCTTTTCACCTCACCATGATGATTATAATTTTCATATCAAATCATCCAGAGAGTGAAATTAAAAAAAATAAAGCTACAAAAGAAAAAACCATCTTTACTAACCAGATCATAAACCAGAACAGAGGACAGTAAGCAATTTGCAGGTTGGTAAATTAGAAAGTAAAACAATTCATAAAAGCATAATGTGAGAACCACAATGTCCCTGAAAGTGGTAGCACTGCTTAGCTTAGGATGGGTGCCCTGGAAAAACCCTAGGTCAGATGCATTCTCTAGTCAGACAGAAGGAAGATCCTGTCAAGAGCTTGAAGTAATCTTAATTTTCCCAAGCACAAGTGAGAACACAGAATACATTTCCCCTGAGCACACAGGGGTTGGGACTGATGCACTCTTCAGGTGAGCCAGGTGGTAGAGGTGAAATCTCTTTAGCCACAAATCAATGGGGTAGTAAATCTGGGCATGTTACCAAGTGCAATGCACCTCCTTCAAGACTCCATTGTACTGGAAATGTATGAGAAATTTAGCAGAGTGTATGTTCCATTAAAAGGGGTTAAATTCAGGAAAACAGGTCCCAAAGAGTCTCCTTCAGTGTTGTTATTGTAAGAAAATAAAATAAAACATATCCTGCACATTTAACACTTCTCTCCACTGTGAACTCTCAGATGTTTCATAAGAGTAGATTTCTGGCTAAAAGCCTTCCCACATTCAGTACACTGATACGGCTTCTCTCCAGTGTGAACTCTGAGGTGTACAACGAGGTGATCCCTTCGTCGAAAGGACATCCCACATTCTCTACACTCGTATGGCTTCTCTCCAGTGTGAACTCTCAGATGTTGCATAACGTAAGATTTTTGGCTAAAAGACTTCCCACATTGTCTGCATGCATATGGCTTTTCTCCTGTATGAACTCTGTTTTGTTCAAGGGCAGACTTATTACTGAAGGACTTCCCACAATGTCTAACCTCATATGGCCTCTCCCTAGTGTGAACTCTCTGGTGTTTAATGAGTACAGGTCTTTGTGTGAAGCACTTCCCACATTCACAACACTCATATGGCTTTTCTCCAGTGTGAACTCTCAGATGTTTAATAAGGTTAGCTTTTTGGCTACAAGACTTCCCACATTCAGTACACTCATATGGCTTCTCTCCAGTGTGAACTTTCAGATGTATAGTAAGGCTTGATTTTTGGCTAAAAGACTTCCCACATTCAGCACACTCATATGGCTTCTCTCCACTATGAACTCTCAGATGGTTAATAAGGTTAGATTTTCGGCTAAAAGACTTCGCACATTCAGTACACTCATATGGCCTCTCTCCAGTGTGAACTCTCTGGTGGTTAATGAGTGTACTGCTTTTACTGAAGGACTTCCCACATTCATTACACTCATATGGCCTCTCTCCAGTGTGAACTCTCTGGTGGCTAATGAATGTACTTCTTTCCCTGAAGAACTTCCCACATTCATTACATTCATATGGCCTCTCTCCAGTGTGAACTCTCTGGTGGTTAATGAGTGTACTTCGTTCCCTGAAGAACTTCCCACATTCTCTACACTCATACAGCTGTTCTCCAGGGTGAACTCTCTTATGTCGAATGAGGTTAAAGATTCGTTTAAACACTTTCCTACATTTGTTATATTCATAAATCACTTCTCCAGAAAATGCACCCTGACATTGAACAACTTTCAGGTTGTGGATGGCAGCGTCTTCACATTCACCCCACTGGTGATGACTTTTTCCATCAAGAAATTCCTGTGAAATCTCACTGCCACAGTGTAGCTCCTCAGTGTTGAGAGTGGCCTGGTGCTGGGGAAGCTCTGAGTTGTATTGCAAGTCTTCCCCAACCTCCCTGCTGGTTGAAGGCACCGAAGATAAGTAGAAGCTGGACCTGCTCACAAAGGAGGCCCCATTCATAGCTTCTTTCCAGGGCTCCTCTCCACATTCATTCCTCTGTTGCTGGTGAGGATTTGTGCTGAAACAGACATCTCCAACACATGCGTCACTACAGAAGGCTTTCTGCTCAATGTGTGCTGCATGTGATCCAGTCAGGTGCAAAATATGTTGTAACACAGAGAAACATTGCTTACACAGAAGGGTCTTCTGGGTGGCTGTAGCTGTCTTAGAAGCCCCAACCTGTGACTCTCCTTGTATAGATACACTTTGATCAGAACAGGCCTCCTCATCATCCATTTTATGCCAACAACCTGAAAAGTAAGAAATGGTGAGGAAATGACTGTTGATTGTGTGACAGGGGGAAGTCCCATTGCAACAGTGTGTTACACATCACATGTTGGTTCCATGCAATTGTCTGAAAATAAGAGATGTGCAGAAAGGGTTAATAAGAGGCTCTTGTGACTTTCTGGGCTAATGAAGATCACAACACAGGGAGGCCTCACCAGAAATATGACACAAGTGTTATGGCAAACCTTTTGAGCTTGGCGTGTCCGCACTTTGAAAAACCCTAACTTAACTCTGGTGCTGTGTCACATACAGAAATTTTCTGATATCTGCAACCATAGTAAAACAAAGATTTATATTTTTGATATTTATTTTATATATTTAAATGCCATTTAACAAAGAAAATCAACCAAAAAATGAGTTCGCGTGTCACCTCTGATACGCGTGTCATAGGTTCGCCATCACTGGATTAGAATATGGTTCTCCAGCTCATCCTTCAACTAACAGCATTCAGCAGGGCTTATCTGCTGGGGAGTGGGGCGAGCTGTGTAAGAGGTTGGTTCCATCTTACTCCAAGTAAAATTTAATAAAGGAGTAGCTGGTTTCAAGGACTACTTAGCACATATGTGCACCTCATAACACATGTGCAAGTCAATGTTGTAGGATATTGCAGAGGCACCAGTGCAGAGGAACAGGTGATACAGAAGTGAGCAGTCTGCACTGGGCAGGAGCAACACAGCTTGTATTCAGGGAAGAGAATATTACAAACAGTTGAATAAGGGTCTTACACAAGAGCCCATGGTTCATGTAGGTAAAGACCATAACACGGCACAGGCTGCCACGAAGAGCCCTTACCTAGAGAAAGAGGGAAGAAGTTGAAGCCACGCATGTGGACACTGTCAGCCTTGCATGAAGAATAAGTGCAAGCTGGCACACATTAAGCTCATGAAAGACTCCTAACTCCCTAACACTTTTTGAGGTAATAGGTGTTAGGGATGTTCGTGGAGTACTTTGCTCAAGGCTCCCCATCTATTTCATTCATGGAAGCCACAGCACATTTGACAGGACAGTGGGGGAAATTAGCAGAGGCAATGTTCTGGTTGTGGGAGAGAGAAAGCTAAGGCTGCGAGGAATAAAGGAAGAGAGGTCATCACCTGAGGACACTGAGAGAATGTGAAAGTCTTACCTACAGATGATACAAATGCAAACACTTCCAGCATCACATTGTAGTACAGAAGTTTCTGAGCCTCATCAAGGAGCCCCCACTCCTCCTGAGAGAAGGCAATGACTACGTCCTCAAAGTTCACATCCTGTCATAATGGGGACAGTCCATTCA